GTTTATCAAATAGTACCAAGATGAGTCACAGATATTTTCCTTATAAATGGGTGATGAGAATAAAAACTATTTAATGACAATAATAAAAGGACTGAGAATGATGTTTTCAATTTCCTTCTGTAAAGTCATTTTCCACAGATTACATTGATTGTCACTATCTTCCTATCTGGTTTCCCTTGGAACAGAATTCTTGGAGTACTGTGGAATTCATGTCTGTGTTTTGGATGCTTTATTAACTATATATGGTCGACACTTAATTCTATGACTAGAATTTGATAAACATTAACAGATTCCTTGCTTCTCCTCCCCCTTTCCCATCTGTGGACCTCACCCCACATGACTCCTCTCTGCTCTCCCCACCTTGGCCCCAGAGACAAAAACATTTATTGCTTCATTTTATGGTTGTCCTGAAAATAGACATTGGCTCCTGCATAGTGTAGTATTCAGAATTTTAATGAGCACAAAGCAAGCAGCTTGGCCCTTCACTCTGACATGAGCGGGGTGACATCAGCCTATCCAGGAAACATGGAATTGATTTTAAAATTGCTTTGAGGGTGAATAAATGGGTGCGACTGTGCATTACCATGAGACTGCCCTACACCCACTCGCACCTCCCTTTTCATTTATCTCAACACCAGAAGTGTTAGAAACCACCTGAACAGATGCCCTTCAAAATATAGGTTGACGAACTGGGGAATGTTGATTTGTTTAAAGCTTACATTTTGTAACTTGCCATTATCCTAAATTGAAAGTTGTCAGACATTTTCAGCTTCCATTTTGAGGATTTTCTTTCCAGTTCTAGGATTTGGTTCATTTACTAAAACTGGGAATTGCTCTTTTGCATCACCCCTTCTGCCCCCCTCCCTCCCGTCTCCCTCCTCTACGTTTCCTGCAGCAGGTTTTGGTGCTTCAGCCTAAAGGGCACTCTATCTCTCATTCTGCTACGTGAGATGAAAACCCCTAGTATCCAGGGTGGGGAAAGCTGGCATTGTGGGCTATTTGTAAGAACAGGCAGCATTTAGCAAGATACTGTGTAATACCAAAGCCAGATAAACTCTCTCCATACCCCAAACAAACAATGAAAAACCGCCCCTGATGGATCACCAATGAACAACAGGCCCCCCCCAACTCTCTAAAATACGGTTAGGTTTTCAGATGGCCACTTTCACAACCACTCGCTTTTTTTTTTTGCAACCTTCTTGTCAGTTGGCTGGTTTAGCTAGTCAACCAGTAAAGATTTCTAAAGTTCTTTGAAGACTAAATGTGCTACTTACTGCAAGGCCGCATTATGTAACATTGGGGAGATCAGTGAATTCTGCAGGCTTCATACACAGCAACAAAAACAACAGCAACAGCCACAAAACAGCAGCAGCAACAACAAACCTTCCAAATTCAACTGCATCGGCTTCAGAAATTTTGTTAACCTTTTTAGTAACTACCTTTAGTAACTTAAGGTTTTGAGTTTTTTTGCTTTTTAGTTGATTCCATGGACATGTTTCTGTTGGAGAAAATTCACAATAAATATTCTCTAAAAATGATCAGTGATCATTACTGTAAGCATCCCAAGACTGCCTTCATCCAATTCAAATAAATCTGACCCTTTAATAATTAAAGTACAACCACTTCGAAATTACAACTAAACCACAGAACAACCATCATTCAGAACTGCCTGAAATCTAGTTAAGTGGAAGTCCTACAGCTAGGATTTAAAGCAGAAGCCACACTGAGACTGAGCGGCAGGGGGGAGCCGGGCCTGAGTCTCCTTCAGCCAGGCTCGTATTGTTCGCCCTGCCCTGGTGATTGCCTGAGACTCTGCCCCACGCAGCTTGCAGGCCCACCCGAGCTGTTTCCAATGGCTTTTTCATACAAATGGTCTGTTTTGGCTCATGCTTCATACTTTCCCCAAATCTCTCAAACAAGCAGCCATCGTGTGCCATACCTCTCACTGAGTGGCCCCAGGCCCGGCACTGGTGACAGCCAGCCTTGGTTCGCAGCTGGGCCTCCCTGGGCACCTCCGAGCCCAGCGCAAGTGGCAGCCTTTTGCCGGTTGCTTTCGTAGCTCACGCCTGCGGCAAGGGCGCAGCACAGGCGGTGGCTGACCTTGGCCCGCGCCTCCCGGGGGGCCCCAGAGCTAGACAGCTTCAGGCCGCGTTGAAGCACGACCCGACCACTTCCACAAGCGCCACGCTAAGAGGTGAACCCAGCGGGCACTGGAGCTCCACAGGAGCAATTCCTCTCTGCGGGGTGGGCCCCCGCACAGCTGACCCTCCACGGTGGTCGGTGGTTGGTGGGGTGACACTGGTTGATAAAATTATACATTTTTCAGGTGCACCATTCCACAACACATCATCAGTACACTGTCTTGTGTGTTCACCACCCCAAGGCAAGTCTCTGTCCATCACCATTTATGCCCCCATGCCCTCCTCCCTCTCCCCACACCCCCCACTCCCTGGCAATCACCACACTGTTGTCCCTGTCCATGAGTTTTTTCTTTTTTACTCAATCCCTCCACCCTCCCACTCAGCCCCCAGCCCCACCCCTAACAGCTATTAGCCTGCTCTCTGTCTCTATTTTGCATGTTAGTTCATTTTGTTCATTAGATTCCACACATGAGTAAAATCATATGGCACTTTTCTTTCTCTGCCTGGCTTATTTCACTTAGCATAATGCTCTCCAGGTCCATCCATGCTGTCGCAAAAGGTAAGATTTCTTTCTTTTTTAAGGCTGAGTAGCATTTCATTGTGTATTTACAGTCTTTTATTAGAAAAATTGTATGTGTTCAACTGATTATGTCTGCATTTATCACATATATATATACTATATATACACAATGTACACATACAATACATACTATATATTGTCCGTCCACTATACACATATGTATTTACATATTTTACATGTTAGATAAAGAGCATTCTTCCTGTGTAAGGTTTATAATTTTTTCTTGTTTTCTCAATTTTCCAAATATTCTACATCTCTTTGTAACCTATAAAGTATTTTGTGATTCTAGTATTTTTTAATTTTCATTTACAGTTTGCATGCAACACTATTTTGTATTAGTTTCATGTATTGCAATTTTAATCTGACATATAATTCTGACATACAGACATGTGAAGAAAAAACCCAGTTCTGCTCAAGGATATTATGTAATATACTTTTAAAGTCTGAGGTTATTGCATGCAACTAGCATCAGATATTTCATCAGTCATTAATAATAAGAAAATGGAAAATACCAAACAATAAAATGTATTAAAAAACACTCATACACGCATACATAGCCAACTACTATCAATATATTTCCTTAAATTATGTAGTCTTCCAACATCCATTTTTATTATATCTGTTTCTTTGAGTAAAGACAATATGTATACGAAAAAAATCAGTTAAGCTCTATGAGATATACAAGGAAATGTGTGCTCTATCATTTGTCCTCAAAGAGCTTATAGCACACATATTTCAAAACAATAATCCATAATATAAGGCAGAATTTGATCTGTCAAATGAGTGATGTAGACACATCAGTGTCCTCACGTCCAGAGAAAGATCTCATTGTGATGTCATGGCTCTCAAAGGAGCCCAGCAGTGGAGGTTGCATTTTAAGTTGGCCTTTGAGGGATTTGTAGTTTTTGGAGAAGCAGAGTTTAGCCTAGGTTGAAGGAAAGCAGGCAAACACCAAGGTGAGGTCCTGGCTACACGCGTAGGGGGTCATGCATGACTCGGACACTGGCTTCATTCCGGGTTCGGCTAAGTTTGGAAAGAGCACCTGGAATGACCGGGCTGAGGAAAATTGTGTTTAACTTATAAAGAACAGAATATTTCATAAAACCCAGAGTTTTCAAGCAAAGAAATGATCAAATCCTTTATTTCACCACTTTGAAAATGATAGAAGAGTAACCTTGCTTGTAAAATGATTCACCGGCCCAGATGCGACAAAAGGGACTTAGGACTCAAGCAGAGCCTGGTGGGGGTCAGCACTTCCTTGCTCCCTCTTTTCAAGTAATTACAATGTTGGGGGGAACCCAGACCTGTCAGAATGCCTTCTGCGGAGTAGTGTTCAATGGATGATGGATGGATATATGAATAAATAACCATTTGGTTGATGAACCCAATAAAATGAACAAGAGCCATCATGTAAAGCCTGGGAGGAAATTGCCTTTATATCGCTCACTTTCAGCTTCATTAAAGATTAACTCATTTTTATCTCTGTATGACATGTGGCTGGACAAGGAAACTGATCCTTTTGGTTCTATATTTTAAAGACAAACCAAGAGCACAAACAGCAAGCAAATAAAAGCTCGGGAAAAACAAAGTGAGACAAAACAAAAGCCACATGTCAACAAACTAAAATAATGTATTGTTGAATGGTTGTCCCTGGGGGGAAAGTAGCTAAAATACCTCTTGAAGAAGGAGCTTAAAGGTTTCCAGGTGGCTTTTACTCTGTCAGAACTCATTATGTGACTGGGGACACATATTTACAGGCTGCTAATACCCAGCTGATAAGAAACCATATCTGAATTATTTCTAAGTGTCCTGGGAGCCCAGAAGGAGCTAAAGCGTCTCTGCTTAGATGTCACTCTCAATCCGTTGCAGCTGTTACCTGAATTGTCATTTACCCATAATCAGGCACTAAGACTTGAACCTGAATCAAGCTTCAGTTTCCTTACCCTTGAAATTCAGTAAAACAGTCAAGGACTAAATGAAATGGAGTCAATATTAGTAATGTGATGGTTTGCCTTTTAAAGTCCTGAGGTAATATAGTAATAAATTTTGGACCAGGTACTCAAGAGCCGTAGTTGATTTCTAATCTTGATTAATTTTTTTGGTGGCTGTTTCTGCTAATGTGGGCCTCCCGTCAATGAGGATTTCATTTTTGGTATAATTACTAAAATGAGAGTTCATATATTGTTGCCATCTGTAAGCTGTTTCGTAAACTAAGGGGACATGAACTCAGTCCTAATTTATTTTCTTAATGTTAAATACCGCCCATTTTTATTACGCAGGTTCCTTCTGAAGAACTAAATCCTTGGGTGGCCATTAGGACCTGGATGAAATTACACCAGGTAATGTCTTTGATTTTCAGTTTCCCCATCTAGTCTACAAAATAAAAGTTTGGACTAAAGGGTTTCCAAGGCCTATTCTATTATTAGTTCTATTATTATTTATGATCCTATGATTTCAATTTGGTTTCCATCCAAACTGGTGAGAACCTCTAAAAGTTCAAACCTGAAGGACTCTAGTGCATTTGCCTCAGTTTATCAGCTGTAGAACTGAGTGAGCTTTGGCGAGACAAAGCCTATTTACAGGCACACTATGTGACCCTCTTTTCCAGACGTGTGTCTCATTTGAATAGAGTGGTAGTTCTCAAAGGTAGTCCCTGGACCAGCACCATCAGCATCATCTGGGGACTTGTTAGAAATGCTGATTCTCAGATCCTGCCCCCAACCCACTGAATCAGAAACTCTGAAGGGGAAGCCCAACTTTCTGAGTTTTAGCAAGCCCTCTCCATGTTGCTGGTGCACGTTAAAGTTTGAGGACATTGCTTATGCAGTTAAAGTTGCAGGTTCAAACTCTGAAGTAGCTATTGATTTAATTCTGCCTCCTGACCCTAACCCATAATATTACAAATAACCTCCCTTGTTCATCAGAGAGATTGGGATGCACTGCTTGTCTGGATCAGCTCTCCTGCAACTCGCAGATCTTGAGCTATTAATTTAGACTGAAAGTGTTTTTAATAAGCCTTCAAGGGCATCTATTGCTCTGGTCATCAACTCCATGCAAATGAAATATTTCTTTTCACGAATCCTGAGTGACACCCTATCTTTCGTTACATCTGTTTCCTTATTGTGTTCATTCACTCATTCTGTTCCTTCCCATTTCCATATCTTGGCCCATAACTGTTTTCTCTACTGTCTGAAATAATTTTTGGACTTTCTACCAATCCAAATCTATCAAAACTTGAAGATAATTAGCATCTTTGAGAAGCCTTTCCTTAATCTCATCCCATAGGTGTGCCTCCCCTTAAAAAAATCTGTCTCTTGACTACTCTTAAATTTTGTCACCTGGAACAACATTCCTCAAATGGAGTTATACAGCCCAATCACCTAAAAGGTTTTAAAAAATACAGATTTCTGTGTGCCATTCCCACTGACCTACTGAATCAGAATCTTTTGGGTGTAGGATGTACCCCTTTAACCGGCTTCTCAGGAGATCCATGTGCAGTGAGATGAGGTGTTTAGAAATCACTGAGCTAGAACAGGGTTGGCAAACTTATTCTGTAAAGAGCCACATGGTAAATATTTTGGTCTGGTGGGTTGTATGATCTCTCTCACAACTACTGAATCAAGCTTCAAGCTCAACTTGGCTGTTACAGTACAAAAGCAGCCATAGAAAATATCTAAACAAATGGGTATGGTTATGTTCCAATAAAATAGGGGACAGGGGCTGTAGTTTTCTGACCCTTGAGTTAGATTAGTATTTAATTTGATAAAAATGATCTACAATGTCTAAAAGCTTACTCTGCACTCGGGAGGTACTTTTGGAATGAACTAATAAATAAAAGAGCCCAAAGTAATGTAGCTGGTGGAACATTTTAAATTTGAAGTAGACAATTATCACAAAGATCTTGGCTCAAATTGTGCTGACACATGGAAACTCTTGGTGGTTGGGGGAGAATGATAGTGGGAAGCCTGGAGTATACATCTGAATTCTAATTAAGTCAGCTCATTTCTTGGTTTTCCATCTACAAATTATATTCTACCTAATTGACTTCCTGACAAAGGGTGGGTTGAGGAGTAATTTGTTTAATGTTTTAAAATACTACATAGATGCTAAGTGTTGTTGCAGAAAGAGGTTTCTAAGGAAGAACCAAGTATAAGCAGCACTAAAACTGTGCTTTTTGATTCCTGAGCAGAGCCTTTAGTTAAATGCCTCCTGGAAAGTGGCAGTTTGCCCCCAACTCAAATGTCACGCTGCTCTCCCATTTTACTCAGGAAAACCGCAAATACATTGTGTGGGTGATATTGAAAGACGTCAGGATCAAAGTGTATTTAAAGTTGCTAAGAGGAAGCAGATGTTCTCCTTAGCTGGGGCAAAAGATGCTCAGAGTTTCCAGTGAAATATAAACTTCTTGAAGGCCCCATGGGATCGTGCCTTAAAATGTCCTGCTTTTGTTTATGCCTCCCATATGCAAAACAGTGGTGAAATGTGTTGTTCTGGGAGAGACGGAGGAAAGTTAATGAGCTAGAAACAATAAGGTACTTTATACTTGGGGAAAAAACTGGAACGGATGTTATCCTTAAAAAAAAAAACAAAACAAAAACTAGGACAAGATTAGAATAGTTATTTCCCTCAATTCTGATTTATATATATATCTTTAAACATCTTTTAGTCTCTCTGCTCTCATGTTTTTCCAAGCAAAAGTAACTTAAGAAGTTTTTTTTTATCCCCTATAGATTGTACTTTTTTCACTATAGCTAGTAACCAAGAAATAGTTGCAATGGAAAGAGTAGTTGGTGGCTTATAAACTTGAATGAAATAAAGTGTAAAACTAATGCTTTGAAGACTGACTTGAATGCAGACAATTATAATTTTCAACCAGAAGCACATATGGAGACTTGTATTTCTTTCTAATCGAAGTGGCATCAAGTAGTTGACCTTTTAGAGAAATACTAAACAAATATAATATTTTATGTATTTTTTAAGTTAAAGACAAACTTGAGAAGAAGGTAAGCCCAGGGAAGCTCGAGGGATCTTACAAGGTTCAAGATCAGCCTGAAGTTGGAAAGGAAAGTGGGAAAACAACTGGAATGTTCATGGTTCCTGATTTGCTATAGACTGATTTATATGTTAAGGCCACAGTCTCGAGGGGTGAACTTGTTTTTTCTGTTTTCTCCTTCTGGATAAATTAATGAAGGATTAATTGGTTAAACTTGAAATACAACCATAATGCCTATAGCTCTTTAAGCACACAATCAATGAATTTTGTTTTCATACATTTTGTTGAAGTTTATTTAGGAATAGATTCTGGTCCCGTCATTGGGAACTCTGCAGATTTGAAGAGGTGTAGAGAAGGAAAGGACAGAACTTCTCTGGAAAGCAGTAGGGCATTTATCTGAGGGATTGTATGGAATACTGGCTGGTTTCATTTTGCAAGATGGAGGGAGAAAAGTGTATTTAGGATATACAGAATATTGATTATATCTAAGTAATACAAAGTCATCTCAGGCTATAAATAGCTCATCCTAAAAACCGCATCTTAATCACATCCTCATGTCCAGACTTGGCATAGAGAAAGTGCTCAGTAGAGATGCTTTGCATAGACAAATGCCTGCCTACCACATAATAGGGCATGGAGCAGAACTGAAGACGCATCTTTGAAATTGTGGTGGTGGTGTGGGCTTGTCTTTCCATCTCATCTCAAGGACTTGGATGAATCACTCCAATTTGTCAAGGAAAGTGTCATCGAGCCAAGGAATTTTGCATTTGTGTAGATGAATTGAGATTCAAAGAAGAAAGTTGCTTCTCCCAACACCTGTTTTGTTTGTGTTTGTTTTTAACAAACATTGATATAGAGCCTTTCAAAGTTTACAGAGTGATTCTACTTTTGTTTTCATTTGATCCCTACAACAACCCTGCATTGTAAATATCGTTATGATAACAAATCCATTTTATAGATGAAAATTGGGGTCCAGGGAGACAAAGTAAAACCTCATCCTTGCCTTCTCCCTCTCTCCGTCCTTTATATCCACTCAACCTATTAGCCCAGTGGAGATGTAATCATCGCTTAAGTATTTTTATGTTTGGATATTCCCACCACCCCTGTCACAGACCAAACTGCCTTGCATTTCTCTCTTGCTCACAGCTACCGCTCACTATTGATCCACTCACTACCAGGTTGGAACGTGACCCCAATCCTATCCCCAAATATTCTAAAACAAAGAGATGACTACATTACTGCTCAGTTTAAAACCTTCAGTAAATCCCAGAGTGTATGTCATCTGTGTGTGGAGTAAAGGTCTCCTTTAGGTCCTCTGCCTATGGATTTAGCCTCAGTACTCACCTCCTCTGCCACATCCATAGGCTGTTTTCCATTTTACGGTTTTCAATGGGTCAGCTGATAAAGCGAGAGCAACTCATAGCAGCCATGGAAACATCTCTTTCAACTTGAAGACCATTCATCAATTCACTTGAATTTCTATTAGCTAGCATAGTGTCAAATTCTTGGCAGACATTCAACGAAGGTTTGCAGAATGGATGAATGATGGAAAGATGGGTTCCTTTAGTTCCATTCAAAGCCAAAGTTGCATTTTCTCATTACTGATGGCAAGGGGCATGATTTAACTTTCCCTAAAATTCTTGATATATAATGTGGTCAAATGGAAGTTGCATTTAGAGATATATATTTTTTCCAAACCTCTTCTTTAATCAGTTTAAACTTTGTAGATATTGATTGGCCATCTCTTATAGATAATATGTGTGTTCCTCAAATAACTGGATATTTTAGGGTATTTAATGAATATACTATTAATTATTCAAATCCAGTATAAGTTGTGAAGCTTACTTGAATACATGGTAGAAAGCCTTTTTCTGAGTTTGACAGGTGTTACTTTCCTTTTCAAGCATTAAACATTTTAATGTATGTCTGTTTATTACAGATGAAGATTCTGTTCATCCATTATTTGAGGTGTGAAAAGAAGGACAACTTTTACATTAGCCTTCCATCTGGTCATGTAAATGTGGGCATTTACCTTCAGCAGTGATGACTGAACTCTATTTTCTGATGAGTGTATTAATGGTTTGTTTTTCTCCTTTAACCTTTTCAAGAGAGAGGTTTATCAGTTTCTTAATTGACCTCCAATGTGCTTGAAAATTAGGAGTAATAAACACATGCAAATTAATGCTTGTTTATATTGAACAGGAAAATCTTTTGGGCTCAACAGGTTTGGGGCTTACGCATTGTCCATGTCATTTATTCCATTTTTTTGCATTAACTTTTTTTGGCCAAAAGCATAAAAAAATTTGCATCTGCAAATTATAACAGTCATTTATTCCCCTTGGTGAT